GTTAGCCAGGGGGTTTGCCGGCCAAGGGTAGGGTGCGTGTGGCTGTCTGGTGTTCGTTTCTAAAGCGAGATCACCGAAACAAATCCCCTATGGGCATGCCCATTTCTCTGGCCACGGCTTAGAACGCTAGCCTTTCCCCGCTCTCTCAGACCCTCCCATTCCCCCCTTCATTCGCACCCGAGGGGTCCTTTACTTGTCGAAATGGTGTGCAGGGACTGTAACCTCCAAAGGGGACTTGTAATGTACTGGAGCGATTTTTCAATGATAAGTTAGAAGGCTCTGGAAAGTCTCAAATGGCGCATGCTCGTGTTTTTTTGTGCAGATAGAGCAAGACATCCACCATGTACTCGAGGAGTGCCAAATACGAGAGAATTGTGTATACCGGATTAATGCTCGTCGAGAGAGAACGTCCGACTAGATTCATTCAGCAAATTACAGGAGCTCAGCGCCTGTGAGACTCGGGGTAGGCCACCCAGCAGTGCACGCTTGCACTGCAGGGTACATTTTGCCTACCCGTCAGGCGCTTACGTCAGGATATTACATTTGCTTAACTTGGCAAGTTCCTAACGACAAATGGTGGACGTACTTTCTAGGTCTGTTGCTTATCAAGTCGTTAAGATTACCATTGAAAATGTTCACTTGGTATGATTTACCCGCCCACTAAATTTGAGAAATGCGATTTTTTGTGCACATCTTGACCATTTTCAGTTCTAACTCTTACGAATGGAAAATTATTGCGGAAAGTACGTGTTTGTCTATGAGAACGATCAAAAATCGTCATGTGCAAAATTCACAATTTTACTTAGGAACGCTCGCTTCTAAATTTGCTCGTCTGGACAGCAAATTTGTCCTTTGAAAAGTCCCGTAAGAGTATGGATAGCAATAGGAATTACCCGAGGACTACACTGGGATTACCATAGTGATTACATGCTCTCAGATTAACTCATTCCCCAGATTTACTGGTTACAGCATTCCAGACCTATCCGCCGCTGACTCGCATCGCTTCACCCAACTCTAATCAATGCGGTTGCAAACCGTTGCTTTGACTTTTCCACATATCTGTGACTGCATACGCTGAGAGGTGCAGGGACTCATTGTTGGAGCGAATGGGCGTACCAGCCACCAGCCCGCATGCATGCGCGTTCTGCCGGGTTTGCCTATCGCATCGTCATTGGAGCACGGAGCCGCATAGCTGCCAGGATATATAGGCTCTGGTGGATCATGCTGCCCACCCTGTGAGCTTCTCGTGTGCGGGGCTAATCAGTTTAGCCACCCGGTAGTTCACAACTTTGTTTGAAGTAGTGACTCAGACCCGGGTCATGCCTTCTCGGATATAACGTGCTGTCGAAGCGGCTGCATGGACGTGTTTGTGGTTAGTGTTCACCGGCGCAGCCAAAGAATGGCAATCGGGTTGGAAAGGACGAAATGTTAAGGGAGGAATGGAGACGGATGGGGACGGAGGCAGCGGGTGTGGCGCGTGAGGGGCGGCGCGACAACCGTGACGAACCAAGTCGTTGGGGCCGAGCAGCACTCGCTGCTTCCCCGGGATCAGCAGGCTGCTGCCGACGCCACCCCCTTTCACCTCCACGTGAAAGGATCGCGCAGCGAGCTAAATGCCGTTCGTTTGTGGCGTAGCAGGGGCCTGCACGGGCACGGCGCGGCGCGGGAGAGGGTTGACCTGGACTGGCTCGATGGGGCACGAATCGCAGCGCATCTCCTCGTTAGCGTGACTTTGCCACACTCTTTTGGGAAACATTTTGGGAATCAGGTTCATGTTGACTTTACTGTCTGCAGACTCTTCTGAATCGTTGGTTTATGTCGTACGCCCCCCCCTCCCTTTCCCCCAACAAACTCACAGGACATGCACGCCGATTACGATGGCACACTCAAGCACACTATCGATGACCAAGCCACTATAGCGGAAGCAATGATACAAATCACGGTCTTCCATCTAGATCCACGTTATGGCGGCGCCACGTACACGGCCAAGTGTTCATAAAATGGCGGGGAAAAGTAGCGAGGGTTGAATCATAAGCGGTTATAAACCACTGGTAATTCAAGTGTATGCATGTCGTACTATTACTGCAGGGTGAGCGAATACAGTTATAGAACAAGAACAAGAACCGTATACGGTTGGTCGCACATGTCTATTAACAACCTCTTCTTGTTGAGCGAAATTCCCATCCTTTCTAACAGACCGAAATGATTGGCTGTTTGCGTACCTGGAACGCTGTGAACAAAAACTAGTTATCACACATCTCAACGCATCTGCAACAATGCCGATTAATTTGCACGTCGCCTATCCAGTGGGGAAAATGGGTAGGATGCTATGATATCAAGGCAAAGTGATGTTGCATATCGAATGGCGTCGTTGCATCATATACGTCGCGTTAAAGGGAGACCGGCAGTGTGGTCCGTGGGGCCCGTGCCCGTCGAAACGTTCTGCTGACAGTCACGCGCCGGTCACATAAGACGCCTCCGCCCGCGCGCAGTTTTGGGTCCCTCTGGCCAACTACCCCTTGATTGCCCCAGTTGTGTTGTTGCTACGGAACGGCGTGGCACCGCGCGGCGCGGCGTGGCGCGGCGGGGTGTGGTGTAGCTCTATTGGGTGTCCGGTCGGGCACGCAATTCAATTGCACACGGCGCCGCGCCCCGCCCCGCCCCGCCAGCCATCCCTCGTCCGGCCGCTCTACCCGTTTTGTCGCGGATTGCCTGTGGTTTCGCAATCATCTCGTGATGGATGCGCAATCAGCAGACTGGCGTTCACCACCCTCCGAGCCAACAGACTCTGCGAAAAACAACAGTCAAACAACCTCTGTTGTCGAGGTTGTTGTTGGTCGCTCGCGGACAAAATCATTTAATTTTCACGAGCGGATTCACTAATTTGAATTATTGTGAATAACCAGTATCGAACGTAGGCAGTATAATCGTGTAATCAATATGATCACAGATTTAAGACCTGACGTGACCTGTCTCCTTTACTCCCCCTCTGCCCCTCACTTTCTCTCTGTCTCTCTCGTGTTCTCCATTCTACCATTCTCGTCAACCCTTATACTCCATTTACAGCTTTCGTTCAAGCCCTTAACATAACTTAGTTGAGAAGGGTAAGGGGGTGGGGGTGTATTCTCCTCTCGGAGCTAGCGAAGCACTCAAGGTGTAAATCCTCGCTCCCCAGAGACACAACAACACTAAGTGATTCGAAACAAGCGGGGCGAGCGGGACGGCGCACCTCAGCGACCCCGAGCGCGATCTCCCTCCGCGTAATGTATGCACCGTGCCCCCCTCCCCCCTTCTGGAGGCCACGCTCTCTTCCAAACCCCTTCTTCTTACCCACCTCCTTTATTTTCAACCTGATCGAACCTAACGTCGTCCATCCTTGTTACTGTAAGGGTGCGCGAAACGGCTGGTTGCCAGGAAAAGGTTTTGGCGTGATGCCGCGCAGCGCCAACGC